TAACTAAACCAAAATTATATGAATTATTTGTTGACATGTGTTTCTAATGTTAATATTACACAATGATTCACCTACCACAGCACAGGATTCTCCCTAACACACACCTACCACAGCACAGGATGCTCCCTAACACACACCTACCACAGCACAGGATGCTCCCTAACACACACCTACCACAGCACAGGATGCTCCCTAACACACACCTACACAGACACAGGATGCTCCTAACACACAGCCACCTAACACAGCACAGGATGCCCCCTAACACACAACTACCACAGCACATTATGCTCCCTAACACACCTACCACAGCACAGGATGCTCCCTAACACTCACCTACCGCAGCACAGGATGCTCCCTAACACACACCTACCACAGCACAGGATGCTCCCTAACACACACCTACCACAGCACAGGATGCTCCCTAACACTCACCTACCGCAGCACAGGATGCTCCCTAACACACACCTACCACAGCACAGGATGCCCCCTAACACACACCTACCACAGCACATTATGCTCCCTAACACACACCTACCACAGCCACAGGATGCTCCCTAACACAAAACCTACCACAGCACAGGATGCCCCCTAACACACACCTACCACAGCACAGGATACTCCCTAACACACACCTTCCACAGCACAGGATGCTCCCTAACACACACCTACCACAGCACAGGATACTCCCTAACACACACCTACCACAGCACAGGATGCTCCATAACACTACCTACCACAGCACAGGATGCTCCCTAACACACACCTACCACAGCACAGGATGCTCCCTAACACTCACCAACCACAGCACAGGATGCTCCCTAACACACACCTACCACAGCACAGGATGCTCCCTAACACACACCTACCACATCACAGGATGCTCCCTAACACACACCTACCACAGCACAGGATGCCCCCTAACACACACCTACCACAGCACAGGATGCTCCGTAACACACACCTACCACAGCACAGGATGCCCCCTAACACACACCTACCACAGCACAGGATGCCCCCTAACACACACCTACCACAGCACAGGATGCTCCCTAACACACACCTACCACAGCACAGGATGCTCCCTAACACACACACAGCACAGGATGCTCCCTAACACACACCTACCACAGCACAGGATGCTCCCTAACACACACCTACCACAGCACAGGATGCTCCCTAACACACACCTACCACAGCACAGGATGCTCCCTAACACACACCTACCACAGCACAGGATGCTCCCTAACACTCACCTACCACAGCACAGGATGTCCCTTAATGTTATCCTATCAGATGCGCATTACCACCAGAGAGCTGTAACATAACAACCAGATAAGGCAGAAATCACCTAACACAGCACTAGCACATCACACAACAGCACACCAGACGACAGCACATCACACAACAGCACACCAGACGACAGCACATCACACAACTAGCACATCTCACATCTAGTACGGAACAGCCGGCTACCACAGCCCACAGGTAACACAGCAGCGGCTCACTAACCCAGTCACCCTTGGCCGTACCCACAGCAAGGCCGCGTGCACGGCTTCCACATACACGAGAATACTGTGAGCGACGGACGCTGCGTCACGGCCGGTAGCCACTTCAACCCCCACTTTGTCACCCACGGGGGCCCCACTAGCCCTGTCAGGTGAGTCCCAGCACCCACAGGTAGGCTGGCAGGGGTTTGGTTAGGCTGGCAGGGGTTTGGTTAGGCTGGCAGGGGTTTGGTTAGGCTGGCAGGGGTTTGGCTAGGCTGGCAGGGGTTTGGTTAAGCTGGCAGGGGTTTGGCTAGGCTGGCAGGGGTTTGGTTACGTTGGTAGGGGTTTGGTTATGCTGGCAGGGGTTTGGTTACGTTGGTAGGGGTTTGGTTACGCTGGCAGGGGTTTGGTTAGGTTGGCAGGGTTAGGCTGGCAGGGGTTGGTTGGCAGGGGTTTGGTTAGGCTGGCAGGGTTTGGTTAGGCTGGCAGGGGTTTGGTTAGGCTGGCAGGGGTTTGGTTAGGCTGGCAGGGGTTTGGTTAGGCTGGCAGGGGTTTGGTTAGGCTGGCAGGGGTTTGGTTAGGCTGGCAGGGGTTTGGTTAGGCTGGCAGGGGTTTGGTTAGGCTGGCAGGGGTTTGGTTAGGCTGGCAGGGGTTTGGTTAGGCTGGCAGGGGTTTGGGCTGGCAGGGGTTTGGTTAAGCTGGCAGGGGTTTGGTTAGGCTGGCAGGGGTTTGGTTAGGCTGGCAGGGGTTTGGTTAGGCTGGCAGGGGTTTGGTTAGGCTGGCAGGGGTTTGGTTAGGCTGGCAGGGGTTTGGTTAGGCTGGCAGGGGTTTGGTTAGGCTGGCAGGGGTTTGGTTAGGCTGGCAGGGGTTTGGTTAGGCTGGCAGGGGTTTGGTTAGGCTGGCAGGGGTTTGGTTAGGCTGGCAGGGGTTTGGTTAGGCTGGCAGGGGTTTGGTTAGGCTGGCAGGGGTTTGGTTAGGCTGGCAGGGGTTTGGTTAGGCTGGCAGGGGTTTGGTTAGGCTGGCAGGGGTTTGGTTAGGCTGGCAGGGGTTTGGTTAGGCTGGCAGGGGTTTGGTTAGGCTGGCAGGGGTTTGGTTAGGCTGGCAGGGGTTTGGTTAGGCTGGCAGGGGTTTGGTTAGGCTGGCAGGGGTTTGGTTAGGCTGGCAGGGGTTTGGTTAGGCTGGCAGGGGTTTGGTTAGGCTGGCAGGGGTTTGGTTAGGCTGGCAGGGGTTTGGTTAGGCTGGCAGGGGTTTGGTTAGGCTGGCAGGGGTTTGGTTAGGCTGGCAGGGGTTTGGTTAGGCTGGCAGGGGTTTGGTTAGGCTGGCAGGGGTTTGGTTAGGCTGGCAGGGGTTTGGTTAGCTGGCAGGGGTTTGGTTAGGCTGGCAGGGGTTTGGTTAGGCTAGGGCAGGGGTTTGGTTAGGCTGGCAGGGGTTTGGTTAGGCTGGCAGGGGTTTGGTTCAGCTGGCAGGGGTTTGGTTAGGCTGGCAGGGGTTTGGTTAGGCTGGCAGGGGTTTGGTTAGGCTGGCAGGGGTTTGGTTAGGCTGGCAGGGGTTTGGTTAGGCTGGCAGGGGTTTGGTTAGGCTGGCAGGGGTTTGGTTAGGCTGGCAGGGGTTTGGTTAGGCTGGCAGGGGTTTGGTTAGGCTGGCAGGGGTTTGGTTAGGCTGGCAGGGGTTTGGTTAGGCTGGCAGGGGTTTGGTTAGGCTGGCAGGGGTTTGGTTCAGCTGGCAGGGGTTTGGTTAGGCTGGCAGGGGTTTGGTTAGGCTGGCAGGGGTTTGGTTAGGCTGGCAGGGGTTTGGTTAGGCTGGCAGGGGTTTGGTTAGGCTGGCAGGGGTTTGGTTAGGCTGGCAGGGGTTTGGTTAGGCTGGCAGGGGTTTGGTTAGGCTGGCAGGGGTTTGGTTAGGCTGGCAGGGGTTTGGTTAGGCTGGCAGGGGTTTGGTTAGGCTGGCAGGGGTTTGGTTAGGCTGGCAGGGGTTTGGTTAGGCTGGCAGGGGTTTGGTTAGGCTGGCAGGGGTTTGGTTAGGCTGGCAGGGGTTTGGTTAGGCTGGCAGGGGTTTGGTTAGGCTGGCAGGGGTTTGGTTAGGCTGGCAGGGGTTTGGTTAGGCTGGCAGGGGTTTGGTTAGGCTGGCAGGGGTTTGGTTAGGCTGGCAGGGGTTTGGTTAGGCTGCAGGGGTTTGGTTAGGCTGGCATGGTTTTTTTTAGGCTGGCATGGGTTTGGTTAGGCTGGCAGGGGTTTGGTTAGGCTGGCAGGGGTTTGGGTAAGCTGGCAGGGGTTTGGTTAGGCTGGCAGGGGTTTGGTTAGGCTGGCAGGGGTTTGGTTAGGCTGGCATGGGGGTTTGGCAGGGGTTTAGGCTGGCAGGGGTTTGGTTAGGCTGGCAGGGGTTTGGTTAGGGGTTGGTTAGCTGGCAGCTGGGGGTTTGGTTAGGCTGGCAGGGGTTTGGCTAGGCTGGCAGGGGTTTGGTTAAGCTGGCACGGGGTTAGGCTGGCAGGGTTTGGCTAGGCTGGCAGGGGTTTGGTTAGGCTGGCAGGGGTTTGGTTAAGCTGGCAGGGGTTTGGTTAGGCTGGCAGGGGTTTGGTTAGGCTGGCAGGGGTTTGGTTAGACTGGCAGGGGTTTGGTTAGGCTGGCAGGGGTTTGGTTAGGCTGCAGGGGTTTGGTTAGGCTGGCAGGGGTTTGGTTAGGCTGGCAGGGGTTTGGTTAGGCTGGCAGGTGGAGAGTAACCTTCCCTGATATAGACTAGAGCAGGACTGGTGAACCCTTTTTTTTAGAACTTGTGCCTAAGCTGTCAATAATCTTTAAAAAAAATATTATCTCGGTTGCCCATGGGAATTTTGAGCCGCAGATTATAATTATTATTATTAATATTATTGTATTTTATCATTGTTTATGGTGAAAGAATTGCTTGAAATCATTCTTCTGTTTACCCAACCAATTAATAACTCACACGAAGTACACATAATTCACACGAAGTACATATTAGTGAATTACTTACAGTAACAATGAACTTTTAATGGAAAAGGGAGTCCTGTGGCTTATTTATTTGTATATTTATTGTTTTACAATTAATTAATAAAAGTATTACGGAGAGGTATTGAAATAAAATATATTTTTAGATAGCCTGTGAACAAAATAAATATTATTGCTATTACAATAACATTTAAAAAAACAATAATAGTATTCTACTTTATATGCAACTAGAAATGTGAAAGTGAAATTACATTCTTTGGTCCATATTATTAAACAAAAAGCTAATTTTTTTCTTTATTAAATAATATACAATATAAAGATCATTTTTAAATCAATTTACAAGGGGAAAATATTACATTTAAATAAATTTTATATAATTTTCAATAAACCAATTTACCAGATCATCACTGAGTATGAGCCGTAAACTCCAAATGTAGTTATACCTGATCTTACCTCGGTAGAGCTTCAATATTCTGTCTACTGAGTAACCCTCCGGCCTTCCTATCCAGTAGCATAATTATTGTATTTTTAATTTTCTTGCATTTTATTAAATCTAGGGGTCAATATGAAACATTAAAACCTCATTAAATCCACTCTAATGCTTGAGCCACATAATGCTTTAAGAGTGTTCGTAATCTAGTTTACAAGAATAACTTTCTGCTTATAGAAATAAAATATATGCATATTATTCTCAGTTTCAGTACATTGGTCACACCTATTGTTGTTCTTAATGCCCAACATCTACAACCTATCATTAGTAGGGAGGGTCTCATGAATATAGCGATACAATAATTCACGTTGTTTTGGGGCAATAAATTTAACATGAAGGTTTGCCCATATTACTTGCCAGCTAAAGAGTGGATATGCCTTCTCTACTCTAGGAACTATATATGGGAGCAGAATATCATACACTTGTTTACCTTGTTTACTGTTCATTATTAAAAAAAAAAACTTCAATATTACAAATCCGCCTGAGAACATTAATTGCACATGAATAAAAGTGAGGTGAACTGAAGGTGAAGTCAGTATATTATATACTCTGGCAATATGTATCAAGTAGCTATCACGTAATTTACAAAAATAATGCCCTAAAGCATTATTCCTTTGCATTATCTCCTTTCTAAAGGTGACACATAAGATAGCCAATAACTTATGGTACACATTCAGTATTCCTATTCCGCCGTCTTTCTTACCTTTGCATAGTGTAGTCCGTTTAATTGGTTGATATCTACCATACCATACACATCTAAAAAATAGTTTTGTCAGTCTCCTTAACACTTTTCTTGTCAATTGGTAAACTGTGAGACAAATACCACAGACAAAGTTTTGCAATTGACTATTACAGCCTTCTGAAAAAGGGTTAATTTCCTATTTGACAACATATTCGTAGCTACTATTATATTTCTACATAGTACTTGCCAATTAGTAACCAATGTTGTTCCATGTTTTAGACCAGCAAATCCCAAGAGCTTTAATAGGTGGAACAATAAAGTCATTGCTGTTTATTGCCAAGTACAGTGGCTCTTGAAATATAACATACAAAATCATTGAAAGGGGACATCCCTGACGTACAGATCGTTCAGTTGAATATGGTTTACTCAAGACATCATTGATACACACGCTGCTCCGACACGGTTTATAAAGCATACGGATCCAATCAATAAATTCTTGTGCCACTCCTACGCTATCCAATATTTCTAATACAAACTGAACATCAACACGGGCAAAAGCTTTCGGCCAGTCGAGGTTTATCATGGAGGAACATTATTCTCAGACACATAATACACAACATCCATAATTACATTATTACAATTGATTATGGATATTTCAGGCACACCACAGAACTGTTCCTTTGATATAATTTTATCCATTGCAATCCTAAGTCTATTCCGCCAACAATTTCGAGATTATTTTGTAATCCTGGTTGTGCAAGGAAAGTGGCCTCCAGTTCGTTAGAATATGCAAATCACCTCTTTTTTTGTATTATCTTAATAATCCCATGAGATTAATTTTTTTTAAATTTTGCCCCGAGGGGCGAGTTTATTGGGCAGCGCCACTCATCCCATGAGATTGTGACATGCTAAGCTTCCTATCCTGTATGCTATGCTGCACCACTTGTACAAAGTCTTTACCAATGACATCCCATAGATATAAATCAAATTCCGCCGGGAACCCACCACAGCCAGGTGATTTACCCTTCTTTAAACTCTTGACCACACTCCACACCTCCTGCTTATCTACATCTCCCAACAATGACATGTTGTCATTCTGGGTTAAAACCCGTGTACATTACTCCCGCATTCCTTGGTCTACGTCCATTTTTTGTACAATTTCTCTAATTCACCTCGAACATAATATACAATCCCATCCGTATTTGTCATATCCGTCCCATCACCTGCTTTAATACTAGTCACAAGTGTTGTACCCTTGTTATTCTTGACCTTACTTAACAAATATGTAGAGTTTTTCACCATACATCCTATCATTAATCTGGAGGTGAACATTGACTCCTTCAGATATTTCATCCCGCATTATGTTAATGTTACTATCTTCATACTTATCTAATCTCATATTAACCTTTGCATAAAGTTGTTTTAATCTGTGTTGGAATAAGGTTAAAAAGGCCATATTTTTCAGCCGCCTTTCTTTTGGACACTTTCACGAAAAAAAAATATAATATATTGTCAATATGTCAATATAAAAACTGTCAATTTAATATATTGACCTGCTGGATTGTTAGGCTGGGCCTGACAGCTGAGTGGACAACACTTGGGATTCGTAGTCCTGAGGTCCCGCGTTCGATCCCTGGTGGAGGAGGAAACAAATGAGCAGAGTTTCTTTCACCCTGATGCGCTTGTTCACCTAGCAGTAAATAGGTACCTGGGAGTTAGACAGCTGCTACGGGCTGCTTCCTGGGGATGTGTGTAGCAAAAAGGAGGCCTGGTCGAAGACCGGGCCGCGGGGACGCTAAGCCCCGAAATCATCTCAAGATAACCTACTACTGACACTGATGAAGGAATATTACGATGAAGTTTCATTTTCACTGTTCTTGTACCATTGAAACACCCTTTTCTTACTCCATAGGTATATTTATTGAAACGAACATTGTTCACTTTTCCATATTGTTCCAGTATGTGAGTAATAATTTTATTCGACATTTCAAAAGGCACATCCCTCACAGAAACATATTTAAACGTTTTGCTCAAATTAATCACTTGCACTGATCCTTTCCCATTAGGCAAACTGATAACGTCATCATCATACTTCTTCATAAACTCGAAAAACACGTCCTGGTAGTGGTTGGAAACCAAATATGTCGTCCATCTTTATCTGTGTAGCACATTGAAAAGCGTCCTGCAGACTAGATCATAATTAGTGTTACAACTGAACTTGAGTCCTACGGATTCCATCCGCTTGAGTGGAGGTGTGTAGAAGCTCATGATGGCACATATACCACACTCCCAGCGTGAGGCTACAGGCTCATCAGTCAACACGCTGGCCGATAGCGACGACAAACACGTCCGCCCACCACACGCCAGTAGCAGCGGGGGGCAACACAACCACGTCTGCTTATCACCACGTCTAAAACGCGACTATAAAAAGCAAATGAAGGAAAATAACATTATTTGACCCTACGTGAGACTTTTGCTGTTGCGCCTACGATGACAAATATTTGACATCAGGCTTGTGTTGGTTTGTTTTGAGAGCTTTGTTGTAACCTGAGTTTCATCAGTAAGTCTTACACTCCTATAATTAGACTTCACAAATTTCCTCACTGAAAACAATGACTCGTATGGATATGTCGATGAAAATGCTGTTAACCAAACCACACACCAGAAACTGCAAAGATGTCGACGTTTCGGTCCGTCCTGGACCATTATGAAGTCGATTTTCCAATTTCTACTTTGTGGTTTGGTCAACATTTTTAGGACACGTTATTGTGACTTTTCATCTGCAAAATGCTGTTAATATTGCCATTGAGAGATTTTCCAGTCAAAAGTTTAAGGAATGGATTTCCAGAGTTTCAAAACTTTCTTTTCTGGATTTTTTGCAATAAATTCAGTTACTAACCGATCTCTTTCACTATTTTCTAATACAGCTCGTAATTCGACCATTTTTTGCCTCCAAATTGAGTTGTTTGTATATGAATTGCATCTTAAATTTATCCAAAATCAATCCACAGCAACATTTCCAAATTAATTTTGTCTAATATTACACTGTTTGCACACTTGATGAATTTTGCAGTTCCTTTAAATGACTTCAATTTAGTTGAATCAATGATGCTCGAAAATTGCACTGGAAGGCTCTGTTTTCTCATGAGTTTCAAGATTTGTCATGTGTATCTTTTTATGTTTGTGAAATATTTAAAAATGCCATTGTCGACACCACGTAACCTGATTATATACTTGGTGTTTAACGTGGTGTACTAACCAACTGTGACCTCCAACAGGCACGTAGGTGACCTGACCATGTACTTGGTGTTTAACGTGGTGTACTAACCAACTGTGACCTCCAACAGGCACGTAGGTGACCTGATCATGTACTTGGTGTTTAACGTGGTGTACTAACCAACTGTGACCTCCAACAGGCACGTAGGTGACCTGGGCAACATCGAGGTGCGAGAGGACGGCACACTGAAGGGCTACATATTCTCTGACCCTCTCGTTGCCTTCACCGGCGAGAACTCCATCCTCAGCAGGTCTATTGTGGTGAGTCGTGAGTCTCAATATTGGGCACTCGCTCAATGAATCATTAGTTGTAATGGCGGGATGTCAAGTGATGGTGAGTCATGGCTCTACTGAGTATTTCATTATAGGTAATGAGTCATGTGTCTTTGCTGGGTATTCAAGTAATGAACCATCAGTTCTGGTGAGGTGTCATATGTGCCAGTAGTTACCTATGAATGACGACCATGCTGACTAGTCGTGTGGCGAGGATGTCATATCATGGCGCCACGACCATACCACTGGTAAGTTCTCATCACGTCATGAAATATTGCCATCGGAGACGGAGCCCTAAGTGGCGTGAACTACTGCTGTGACGTCACCATCTTTAACCGTCGGTTCACCGCAGTTGGCAGAAACAAGTTGAAACTAGACTAGTGTTGTTATTGAGAGGCGACGAAACTAGCCTAGTGTTGTTATTGAGAGGCGACGAAACTAGCCTAGTGTTGTTATTGAAGGGCGACGAAACTAGCCTAGTGTTGTTGTTATTGAAGGGCGACAGAACTAGCCTAGTGTTGTTATTTAGAGGCGACGAAACTAGCCTAGTGTTGTTATTGAAGGGCGACGAAACTAGCCTAGTGTTGTTGTTATTGAGGGACGACGAAAGTGTAGCCTTGTGACATGATCTTTTGTTTTGTTTGGCAGGTGCACGCCGGGGTAGACGACCTGGGCCTTGGAGGTCACCTATACAGCTTGAGCACTGGCAACGCCGGGGGCCGCCTTGCCTGTTGCAACATTGTCTTCAACTCTCGTGTCCGCTTCAGGTTCAAGGGGTGAGCGCCTGAACACCAACTGCAAGCGAGGTTCACGGTCTGAAAGTAGTCTAAGCTTCTGCAGACTCATACGCTGAAAAAAGGGGGGGGGGCTGCATTTTCACGGATAAATTCATATTAACACTATTGAAGAAGACCTGGTTATACTGAATGAATGAGTACTTCATTGGTCTCCTGTGCTCACTTCGTGTGTGTGTGTGTGTGTGTGTGTGTGTGTGTGTGTGTGTGTGTGTGTGTGTGTGTGTGTGTGTGTGTGTGTGTGTGTGTGTGTGTGTGTGTGTGTGTGTGTGTGTGTGTGTGTGTGTGTGTACTCACCTATATGTCCCTGCAGGATCGAGCATTGACTCTTGGATCCCGAACTTGGAAGTGTTTGTGTGGCTGCAACCCATCCTCCTGTTTAGGTAGTACGTATTGTGACGATCGTCAATAGTCATGAATTCGTACGTACTTAGCTTTTAGATACCAGTATACTGACTAGTAAAGAATTCTTTTCAAATAAATGAAGCTAAAAACACAAACTTAAATATTCCCAGGCCTAGTATAGCACACATATGTACTATATTAGGCCTCAGATAGTGAGTATTAGTCCTAGGAAGGTTAGGTTAGGTTAGTTTGTCAAAGCAACACAAGTAAAAACATTTTATTCCGGTTTGTCCAACTCAATAGTTCAGATTTCTACTTTTTAATTTCGTTGTCCGTCGGTATATATATACTATGGTCCATATCGTTACTATAAGTACTACCACAACAGGAGGATGGACTGGTGTGTGTGTGTTTGTTTGTTTAGGCTGGTACTGTAAAAAAAAAACAATATCATCCAAAAATAATAGTGATTATATCAAATATAGATGGAACGTAAACAAATGGACTGTTTCACCCACAAAAACTGTAGTATTGATTCTGTAAAACGCTAGTGCCAGAAGGTAATAGCCAAACCTTAACTGTCCTAGACCTAATATAACACATCTATACTAAATTAGAACTATGATGATTATATTAGGTGGCCTAGGATTGCTAATTTAGGCCCAGTATAGCTTAGGTGTATACAGGTACTTAATGTCTCACTTTTTTAGCAAATCATTTGGAGTATTCCAATATTACAAAACGTTACCATTCTTGTGGGTGTACAACAGTAAATTTGTGAACGTTCCACCAATATTTGCTGCAAATAATATCCAAATAATATTTGTAATGAATTAGTAGACGTTTATCAGAAAAAAAGATGAGGCTGAGGGCGCTCGTGTCTACAAGATTCCTCGCAATGATTGCAATAAAGTTTATTATGGTCAAACAGACAGAGAACTAAAACACCCGTATTACTGAACACAAGAGAAATGGTAGATATGACAAATAAAGTACAGGGTTACACAAGCACTTAAGAAACTGCTTACAAAATTATATGGGATAATCCTAGTATAATTTATCCCCAACACTGTACCTTCAAAATAAAAAAAATAATAGAATCTACTTGCATAAATAATAATCCAAATTTTAATATCTCCTCGGGGGGTAGTGGTTACAAAGTTTGGTGGATGATTATAAAATAAATATAAATAAATAAATATAAATATGTTTATTCAGGTAAGGTATATACATACAAGTGATGTTACATTAATGGATTGATATATAGATAGAGCTAGTACATACAATGCCTAAAGCCACTATTACGCAATGCGTTTCGGAGCGTATGGAACAAGATGGTTACAGCCTACTGGTTATTACCTTTGTTCCAAAGACACCAGACTTGACGCTATAAAAAGCAGCTACGGCTGTCATTCTCGCTCCCTGCTGAATAGGGGGTCCCGGCTTGGGTCCGAAATATTCGGTCTATGTTTCTTGTGTTGTCAATATAGTGGGCTATTATTCTATTGATTAATGCGCTATTGTACTTTGTTCTCAAGTACTGTCATATTGAAAAGACGGGTTGAACAAATAAAATCCCATTGTACAGCTGGCACTTGAGGTTCATCCTTTGTTATGGATGTTCACCTATTTTGTTATGGATGTTCAACTTTTGTTATGGATGTTCAACTTTTATTATGGATGTTAAGCTTGTGTTATGATCAACTTTTATTATGAATGTTCAGCTATTGTAATTAATGTCCAGCTTTTGTTATAATCAGGTTTTATTAAGAATGTTCAGCTTTTGTTATTAATGTTCAGCTTTTGTTATAGATATTTAACTTGTATTATGCATGTTCAACTTTGCTGTTAATGTTAAACTTTTGTTGCAGATGTTCTGCTTTTGCGATGAACATAATAAAACATAGCTCCTCTCCCTTCTCTTTTCTTAAAGAAAATATACTTTTTTTCTAACTCCTAATAAAATGATATTAGTCGACCTTTTTTCTTAAGCACAATACATTTATAAAAAAAATTGTTACATGATCCATTACTTTTTCTTGTGTTTAATTAGTATCACAATTAGTAAGTAATAAGTAAATCCCATAAGTAAACCTAATTAGTATTAGGTTTACTTATGGGGTTTAATTAGCAACACTAATTTAATTACGGGCTTAATAAGTAACAAAGCTTTATTTATGGGCTTAACGCAACACATGTTTAGTTATGGGTCAAAGAAAAGTGGTTTATTTAAAAGTTTACATTGATAGTATTAACTTTACTCTCACTGAACTGATAATTTCATAATGCTATAAGGCTATACAAATTCATGTTTTTTTAATGTGTCATCCGTGTGTATATTCCATTATATATACACTTCTCTTCTTGTGCATTTTTAGTAATATATTATATATACACACATGTATTTGCACGCGTAGATATCCACATAGGACAAATGAAACGAAAATTCCATACGTTTCCTTGTTTCAGCACATTATCAAGGAACACAGAGAAGGAAGATTGATCGATTGATGGGGATTAATCCATCCAAGAGGTGGCACAGGCATGAATAGCCCGTAAGTGGTAGATTTTTGGAGTGAATGAGATCTTTGATCGTGAAACCAATAACATAGTTTCTTGAGGGAAGACAGGTACTTCGAGATTTATACCCCACTACACCTGAGTAAATTAAGATCCATACACATAATATCGATATTATGCCGTATTCACGCATATCTCATCAAGCTACAGCTGGTAATTTCGTAAGATGCTGATGACATAATTAAGTCATCGATATCATCCCTCAGTGGCCAGGATTTTCTCAGAGATACAATTCCTTGTGAATCACCGTGTTCTTTGGCTGAAAGCGCTAGTTTTACGCAATCGTCCCGTGTAAAAATTGGAGTGGTTTAGGGAAATTGAAAAAAAACACTGCAATATTGACGCCTTTAGGGACTAATGAGTATTGGCTTCGGAACTTTACGTGGGAGGCCTGATACGTTTTGGTTAGGCTAAACCGCTGGATTTGTTACGATGGGGAAATCGAGAGAGCGGGTCAGTCAGTTGCCATAATACCATAAACCTACAAAATTAACTACCCACTGCTATTTTTTTTATTTACATAAGTGGGTACAGGACGCCTTAATTCTGACTCCTGTTAAATTAATAAGCTGGGAGCTTTCCCTTCCCATGGATCATGGTGAGCCTTAACCACTAGTTTTCCCTGGAACACGACCCACCAATTGGTTAACAACCAGGTACCCATTTACTACTGGATAAACTGCAACGAACACTTAAGGATTGGTGCCCAGTCAATCCACCCTGGCTAGGATTCGAACTCAAACTAAATCGGTTCTTTACTGATGACTGAGTTCCCAATTATAAGAACGGCTGTTTTGTTTACATTCTTTAATCATGATAAACAGAGAAGTAAGAGTATACAGTGATAAACAGAGAAATAAGAGTATATCACATAAGAGTATACACAGAGAAATAAGAGTATATCACATAAGAGTATACACAGAGAAATCACATTACCGTTATATATCAATGAGAAAATCTCCAATTTTGTTAAATCATTTAGAGAAAAACAAATATAACATTCAGGGGTTTTAAAGATCATGTTCTGTGATAATGAAACACTTGTTCACTGAGAATTATAATGTAGTATTGCCTTGTAAAACTTATGTATATATGATTTATATTGTATTTTCTTAAATAAAGATAAAAAAAGGAGAAAATCCACAGGATAATGTGATTTCTCTGTGAGGAGTGAGAGGAGTCTCTTTCTCTGAGAAAAAGAGGAGTGTCAAAGGTAGAATTACTGGACGACAGAGCCAGAGTGCATGGGGGGGGGGGGGAATTGTGTGAAACCCCGGTAAGCTTCAGTGGAAGCCTCGGGAATCCTAGTGGGTGCAGTAGTACCCCCCCCCTCAGGTTCCTGTTCTTTTGACCGTGTTGTGGCGTAGTCGTTTAGAGCGTGCATCTGGGAACAGCCAGCGCATAGGTTCGAATCCTCATCACGGATTCTGTAGATTTTCTCAAGAGTATAGAGCAATAAATTAAAGAAAGCGATACAAAAATTGACGATCTCTTAAGTAGTAACAGTTGTAACAGTAATTATGCCCTCGACTATTTATTCGGGGCATAATATGCACCTCTCTACAAGATGGAGTTATAGCGTAATTTTTTTAATTATCAGGGGAAAGCGCCAAGCCATTACGACTTTATAACACTGGGAAGGGGTCTGGATAAGGATTTGGGTTGGGACGGGGGGGGGGGGGGGAAGGAATGGTGTCCAACCACTTGGATGGTGAGGGATTGAACGCCGACCTGCATGAAGCGAAACCGTGAAGCATAGCGTAAATGACACTTATAACATTCAATTGTATTATAAATACGATAAATTAAAAAGTATTATTGAAAGAATTGAGTGCATTTTTAAACAACGATACTTACATGTCAATTTTAAAACTGGTTACTATCTTTTTTATTTCAATTTTTATTGATAAATTTGTTTGTGTCAGTGGTGGCAGAAGCCTCCAGGAACCCACGAAGGTAAGTAATACGACAGATAAGGTCACGAGGATTCCAGAGAAGATTCCAGTGTCGTCAAGGGATCAGATTCCCGGGGGTGAGAGTCTCTGGCCTGACAGTCATCCTAGCCAAGCGGCTCCACGATGCTCTTTTGGCTTTGTTGACGTTACGGTGAGGGGGGAAATGAAGTCCTTCATATATTGGATATATATATCGTCTTTGCTGCTCGGTGTGTATTTACTATTTGTGCTTGCAGGATTGAACAGTTGTTAGCTCTTGGACCCCGTCTTTCTAACCGTTCGTTGTCTATTGTACCAGCCCATGCTCCTGTTTCTGTTATTAATTGTAGTAACGATGAGGACCATCCACTTGACGTCCCTGTTCACCTAGCGATAAATAGGTACCTATGGAGCTAGAAAGTTGCAAT